GGGCAGAGCAGGTAAGCATTTTCAGACAAAAACCATGGTAGACACAAATGGTTGAAAAAGGGCAGCATCAGAAATTAACTCCTTAACTGTTTTCAGGTTATCAATCAGTGGGAAACAAATGGTTCGCAAATGTCGAAACAGAAGAAAATTGAAGAGTCTCGGACAGCAGCTCTTCGCTTTTGTAAGTCCATCATATAATGCGCTACAAACCGGTAATGCTATTTTCAAACATAAAAATCTTAACTTTTTTTTCTCCATAGTTGGTAGACAGAAGTTTGTGAGAGATGTTCTCAATGCAACTCCTTTGAGTGGTGAGGAGTCCTGTACGGAGCAGCTGCATTTCTACAGACCCACATCAAACAATCACCTAACTGAGATTCAGGTTTCCCCCACTACAAACCACCAAGTGAAATCTCCCTCCTGTAATCTCAAAAAAAGGAAGCAGGAGCCAGGAACATGCAGTGCTTCACAAAATAGCCCCCCAACAAAGCGCTCGCCCTCATCGTCTCTTACTGCAGAGGACATGGACTTGCTGAACAGCTACTGAAAGGCTTTGCACTCAAACAGCATTCCACAAAGGCAAAATGTGAATGTGGTGATAAACAGGTAGCATTTAGCTTCAGTTGAACTGGGAGAGTAACCAGATACTTCACGTTATCTTGTAAAACCTCCAATGTGATGGCATTATATGTGGTTTTAATAAATAAAATTTTGTATTCTGTATTTGTTTCCTTTTTTTGAATCACTGAGATATTAGATTGAGTAGACAACAATTATATTGTTACATGTAGCTCCATGCACTGATAATCTGGTTTCCTGATGTGGTTCAGTCCACCTGCAGAGATCACACAGCAGCTGATGTCTTTTTATACTTTTAGGTCTGAACGATAGGTGCACAAAATAGATATGAAAAAATTGGTCATATTTTATTTACTACACATTTCTATGTTTATCTATCTGCTTTGATTTCACTTAAGGCACCAGTTTAGAAAATGTTGGATTTCTTTAACCCTAACATGAAGGATACAATGCTCCACAAAATCTGTGGTTCCCATCAAAATGTAATCACTGCAAAGCTTAACTGCTGACAGGGTATTGTTCTAACTCAGAAAAACCCTGAGCACTACAAAGTTGGAACAAAAGATACAGGGTATAGGGCTCTGCAGAGTAGTAACTTAAAATGCATTGTGTGTAATTTATGCATTCAGTTTTCTGAACAACAGCAGTCATTTAAGTGTCCAAATGTTTGACAGAATGTGCTATTCTCTCTGGTTTTGTATGAACTGGTGATAAATCCACAGGAGAAACATGAAAGTTGAATAATTTGCAGTACAACCTGTCAGATGAGATTGACTTGTGTGGCAGAATAAGCTGAAACAGGATGTACAGTGTTAACTAAAACACTATCTCAACAAAACTGCCTGTTGTCCTAATGTAAACTCTTTCATTTGTTTACAGCCAAATTTATGCCCAGACTTATTTTCATTAAAGCAAACCAAATTTAGAAAAAGTCCATGACAGTTTAGGAATGAAAGAAAAAGACATCGCAGCTTCCCTCTTTTATTGAATTTTAATAAAATTTTAAGAAAACAAACAGTGAAGCAGGAAAGACTTACTGTATGTACCATCACTATCAATTAAAAACTTTTAACTGTAAAATGTATTATATGGTAACCACTGCAATAGAAACATGAGAATACACACGGGGAGTTTGCAGTATCAGCATCTATTTTACCAAAATTTGTTAGGGTGAAATATGAATCACTTCAAGCACAGACTCAATCCAAACATTCATTAAAATAAGAAAATGCACCAAAAGAAATTGCGAAAAAGTCCCAAAACCTTTCTTACTTATACAGCCATCAACATACAGTAATGCCTCAATTATGCTAATATACAGAAAAAAATAACTTCCATCCCACTTTCAAAAGCTTTATCTGGCGTGGAAACATCATATCGACCAATACAAAATGTTCTGAAAGTCCTGTTAGGGCTGTAAGCAGCACAGGCCTTGAATCAGGGGGTAGAAATTAAACCACAGATTATTCATAGTGGGAGAGAATCCAGTCTGAAGATGTTTTAAGCTTCTAGATGTCAGACTGGCCCAGGTCCACTTTGGAAGGAAGTGGCCCTGCCTCTTCCTCTGGTCCTTTGGTGGTGATGATGAGCAGGGAGGATGCTGGGTAAGGAGTCAGTTTCTGTTCTTTAATGTACTCTCTGTCCCCATAGATACTCAGTTTCTGAAGCAAAAAGGAATGATTTGTATTTTGTGATGAAAGAGAAACTTTGCTCACAAATAACAATCCCAACCTTCAAAACATTAATTATACTCAGGTAAAAAAATAAGTTATTTAATGTAATATTTCCCGTTCTACATTTCCCAACACTGGTCTCTTAATGGTAAAAGTTATCTAGTAATCTCACAGTTGACAATTTCCGCATCAATCCTTTTTAAAAACAGGGTCTTAGGTCTCTGTGAGCAAAACAAATAAACCATTTTCTCCTTAATACAGGGCTTACCTCGGCAGGTACATACTGGTCCACAGCAGTTGCCACAGTGGCACAGCAGATCCAGATCAGAACCAACACAGACAAGATGAGAGTTGTTGTTAGGATCCACCCTGGGAGCCACGGGTTCCTGGGGAAAACGGCAGGCATTCATGGCTCCACTGCGACTTGGGCCTTGCTGGTATCTATGCTATCACGCTCCGCTAAGCACAGCTATTCCAAACAAAGTACATAGCAATATGCAAGCAAACCTTGAGAGACAGCTGAAGAGGTTGTTCTCGTCGCCATAGCTGTGGTCGGCAGTCATATCTCTGTCTCTCTCCTGGATTAAACTGCGGTGGTATTCTTTATAAATTGGGCTGCTAAGCCCAGGGACTTGAAAAGAAGAATTGAAAAATGCTTAAAATGTATAATATGAATGTGATTGTGGTATTTCAGATGCACATATTTTAAATTACATTGTTTAAATAACTTTCTATGTTTTGTACTATACTTATCGTCACATTAAGATGTCTTTCAGGTGACATTTTTGCAACAAAAAAAGCAAACTTATGTCAGAAAATATAACCAAGTGCTTACAGCTCGTCTGTGGCTCGTCTTGTATGTCTCTTTCCAGTTCAAACTGCGAAAAAAACTTCACCTGTGGTTCAGTCTGTGAAAGAAAAGGCAGACATAGCTTTATGACTGCACGTTGACTTGTTTGCATACACAAATTAACCCCATTCTTCCATAGTCATCTTCATACCTGGAAAATAACAACTTTCCCATCATCAGCCTGCAGGTAGAATGTCCAGGTGGAAGTGATGAAGCTGTGGGCCTGACTCATTACATCATCCCAAAACCCTCTGACCAGAGTCAGGGGGTATAGAAGATGAATCCTGGGCATCATGGCCTCCAACTATGGACACAAAAAGGGAAACGTTTAGCAAACAGTTCACTCCTGACAGATGTTGAAAAGCTCAGCAATTGTCATACCTGCTCGTTTCGTTCCTCAGCAAACGGAACCTGATTTTGGCAACCCAGGTTGCATGCATACTGCTCATCAGACTTTGTGTAGGCTTCATGGCAGGCTGCAAAATTTTGAAGTGGTCAGAGACAGCATTTGGTAAAACGAGATTGCATAAACGGCATAGACATGTTTTTAGTGCAAGTCTATCATTATGCAATTGGCGCTTTGCACAAGCCAGACCACAAACAAAAACAATGTCTACCAGCCTGTTATACCGGTGGACACTGGTGGTAAGCCTCACCCGACAGGCGCATACATGGTGAAGGGGAGAGTTAAATGATTCAAAACTTACTCGATTCACAGTCGGATTTGGTTTGATTCAGATCCTCGTTGTCACGAACAAACTGACAAATGGAGAACAGACGACAACCTCTCTGACAAGCGTACAGTTCCTCCTCCTGTAAAGCAAACACGACCAGTTGATTCTCTCGACAAAAGCCTCTCTAAAATATGACGCACATTCGACCCTAACAAACTTACAGACTATACCGGGTATTAACACTAAACCAACTAATAAAATAAAGCTAAATGCGCAGGCCGAGGTTTTTTCACTTGCTTAGGTAACCAAAACAGTGGCTAACACTAACTGTTATGACTTCTCTGAGCAAACTGAGTACTTACCCGTGGATACGTGTGCAAACTGTATGTCATTTCACATGACTTGTGACAAGAAGCTGTGTTTCCCAGCACGCTGTCAAACACATCTGAAGACGCTGATGTGTATGCAAGAAAGATTGAGATAACCAGAATACTGCCAAAAGAGGAAAGGGTGCCCATTTTGTCTATGAAAACCTAAACAAACAACACGCTCTCGTTCCGCGTTCTCCTTAATCTGGTTATGTTCTCGCGATTATCTAGCATATCGCGAGACCTGCTTTATATTTTGCAACGTTCAGATTCACCCCAAAAAATGTAAAGATCAGACATTGTATCAAAATGTGTACAGTATAAGTTTCTCGATTGGCTGGATAAAGCCATTTTATTTTTATTTATGTTATAAAACATATATGCTGTTGACAACGGCAAAAGCTTTGCTGTTTTCAAGTGAAGTGACACAGATGGTACTTGATTTGCTATTCACAACCGAAGTGTATGCCATAAATTAAGATGCAAAGGAGATTTGCATACAGCAAAAAAGCCCGAAACCCAACGTTTTGCTTACCAATCATATTCCCACCCGAATCACTTAACCACAGTTACTTATAAAACACTAAAGTATACTTATTGGCTATATTTATGACTGTCACACTGTCGTGAAAATAAATGTAAACATATTATCACATGTTTGAATAAAAGTACTGCCATTAACTCACATCATACTATAATTTTGGCTGTATATTTGTTGATAGTGTTATAGATCAATATCAGACAAAATGTTAAAATAATATCGACTATTTCCGATCAACTTCCCACCATGGTGACTTCTGTTGACTGTTGTGAAATTTCTAAGTTTACCTGAAGGCAACATTTAAACACAAATACTGCTAGCTTCAACAAATACACGGAACTATAATTATTTAGGCAAATATTTGGTCTCATAGTGCGAAAGAATGCCTTAAATAGATCTTAATATGTGGTTATACTCTTTAATTGCTATTTTCTGGTTAGAGTTTGACAGGTAACGTTTAATCAGGTAGCTGCTAGAAGCAGCTAGCAGTTGTTCCAACTTCCGCAGTCGGATGCAGCTAAAGTAAACAAAAACAAAAAGCCTTAATAGAGGTTTGTAAATAAAAATGGACAAGTTTGTGGTTCGACATCCCAAGGGCGAGACACCGAAACAATCTAAGAACGACGAAAAGGTTTACAAACAAACAACCATTGAATCTCTACGGGTGAGGCATTGGTCATGCTTGTTCATGAACAAGATTTTTATGTTACCATGTGGCAGGTTTATACAGAGTTACTTCATTTTATGTGTTTATTCTTCTTAAGAGAGTTGTTGTGATTGAGGACATCATGCGCTACAAGGCAATCCTGGAGCTGCCAGAACAGAGTAAGGACAACCTGCTTAATGCCCTGTCAGAGCTGGGCAAGAAGATCCCATCCAGAGAGGTGCTGAAGTCCACAAAAATAGGTAAGCTTCTGAACTCAGGGTACTCAGCAGAGAACTGCATGATTGCATATTAAGACTACATGGATGTTTACTTCACTAACCTATGACACCTTTGGAGGGATCTTCCATATTTGGTTTTTGAGAGTTCTTACTCTTGGTCCATCCCAATTTATCTCTGTGCAATATTCCAGCCACATGGTTATGACTTCCATGCATACCCTACCTGCATCCCATACCCAGCTGCTGTTTGCTTGGCACACTCTGAGGCCACTTTGCATCAGAAGTCCTGTTCGATGTGGTATACCCCCACCTCTGCTCCTCAATCTGCTCGGCGCCTGCACTTGTTCTGCAACAATTGGTGCCTCCACGCTGTCTTTTAGACCATCTTTTTCTACTCACTGATATGGCTTTTCAATTGACAGTGGAGCATGCAGGGCAGGGTTTCCTCTCCTCTTTCCTTCACTGGTTCTCAAACCTGTCTCAAAGCAAAGTTTGGCAAAGTCTACAACAAAAAGAATTGCATTGTTATCTAATATCACTGTGAGGCACAACAATCTCAGTTATGTGCAGCACTATGAAAATAACTAAAACACTTTAAATGACGAATTACAAGTAACACTTCACTGGAAGTGATTGAGTTGTTAGGCTCTGTGGCGTGTCAGGAATATTCTAATTAAAAAGAAGAGCCATCATAAAGGATTGAGCCATTCATCATATTCAAACTACTTCAGCACTTGATGAGAAAACCTCTCTTCTCAGGTCACACTGTCAACAAAATGAGAAAGTATCAGGACCCCGAGGTGAGCTCACTGGCTGCAAAGGTTTTCACTGACTGGAGGACGTTCATTGAAGAGAATTCCAATAAGCCGTCTATTGAGGTGCGCTCTGACAAACAATCTGAAGGACTCCGGAGCAGCGCAAGAAGAATGCTGTCCGAAGTTCTGGAGGTCAAGGTGAGAGTGTTGGCCTCAATGAAGTTTAATGTGGCAGCAAAAGCAGAAGGACATTTCTAATTTACATGATACTCATGTGGCATTGATAGAAACATTTTAGCCATACAGATGGAAGAAAAAGGTGTAATGTTGTTTGATTTTGACTTTGGAGACAAAGCAGCAGCTGGAGTAGGTTTCCTGTTTGCAGGGATTCAGTTACCACTTGGATAATTCAGACACATTACATTTGACAGCAGATTTGATGTGTTCTTGTTTCTGTTTTTTTTGCAGGAGGATTCTGGTCTCACAGACAACATTGAGAGAGAAGTTTTTCACCAGAGCTCCAGGTTGGTCAGCGGTTCGTACAGACGGACGGTTCGAGCGCTGGTGTTTGCCTTCAAACACAACCCTGATATCAGAATTCAGGTTAAGGACAGCAAAATGTCAGTCAACCAGCTGGTGTCGAAATACAAAAAATAACTGAAGATACATTTTTCATAGCCTTGGACTGCACATTCACCCTGTGAGTTTTTTTTATTCCATCAGTGTTTATTTTCTGCGAAAAAAGTAGAAAATATGTACATTTTGTTGCACATTAGTGTCTTTACATGTGAGTCACTGGAGGGAGAAGAGTCAAAGGATGATTTTTAATTAGATTTTTTCTTTTTTGTCAGGAGGTGTTGTACTTTTTATGTTTTTAATCCACTTTTTATACAAAATAAAACTTTAAAAAGACACATTTTCAGCTTTGGTTTTTCAGTCCTTGTATCATTCCATGCCAATTCAACCAACATTCACAGGTCAGGTCTGAGAGTTTCTTCAGAAACATGGAGCTATGGTCCCAACACCTTTTCAGTCAGGGTTTCGTCAACAGTTCAGAGCTGCAGAGAACTAATGTTATGATATTAAAATTATGCAATAATACTGAAACTATATATTAACTTTATATTTCACCTAAAGTATCTATTTTGATATTTATATATGCCTTTAATTGCTAATAAAAATATTCAAGTATAGTTGTTTAGATGTTGTTTGCACTTGGGTTTCATGGATGTTCAGTATAAATTTGATTGAAATCTCAATTTACTGATTAGGGGCAAACTTTAATATCAATAACTGAAAAAGTATTTTGAGAACAGCCTTAAGATTATTAAACATCCCATGAACTAACAGTCTTTGATATTACCCCTGCCTCTATCCTCTGAGATGGTTACAGAAGCACCAACCAAATAATCGCTATTACCATGAGGATGACAGCCAGAACACAAATGCTGATGAAGACAATATCGCTGAAGTCATGAGGCTCAGATTCCGGACTGGCTGCGTGGCCACTGCTCTCAGTGTCTGTCTGCTGGGCTTGCTCCTCCAGGCGTCGCTCCTCTGCTGAAATGATTGACACCCATGCTATTTTCCGGAGAGCGTCACACTGCACCCTATATTCTTGTACATTTTGCTGCTTCCCATCCGAGAAGTCGATATAGAGCTTGTTTACAAGCATGGTGATGTTCCGGTGTTTCTGAAAGGGATTGTTAGTCACAGTGTTAATAGAGGCAAGTCCCAGACAACACCCCCATATCACGACCAGTCTAAGAATTGTAAATCATTGCCCTGTAAAATTAACAAGCATGCGAGGCAGTCACCTGGCTGGCTGTGCCACAGTTGACAAACTGAGCGAGAATTTTATATGAAGTGGTCGTTAGCTGTGCTGCACAGGTTGGGTTTCCCAGATAGATGCTCTCCCGGTCCAGCTGAGGTAAGGACTTCAGGGGTATCAGGATGGTGAACTCTGATCTTGTGCAGCTAATATTCACTGGCACCACTGGCAAAAAGACAGTTTAATCTGTTCAGGAGCAGCATATGAATGACACGGACGGGATGAATGTCGTGCATTTAAATTGGCTGAGATTCAGATTGCAGACAGTGTAACTAATAGGCAGTCATGATGGATGATGGAAGATTTGGCGCAATATCTTTTGTTTCAAGAGTGTCAGCAGTAGGTCTGCTTTCACAACATGGATTTAAATGCTTATATATTTACCTCCGACAAAGGAGGCGGCAAATCCTCTATGAGCCTCAGTTCTGTCTGTGCTGAGCACCACCAGCAGCTTGTTTCCCTTTGAGATGAGAGAAGGAGGCGGCTTCCTACCACAGAAGCGTCCCAGCAGGGCGTCTGTCTGGCTGTCCCCATCATAAACCGCCACTGAGTCATAGTCACACTCGTTTGACAAACTGTTCCGGTCCTCCAAGTCCATGACAGGGAAAAAAAGTTTGATGCGGTATCCAGCTGCGAGGGTGATGCTCCAGTGGCAGTTGATGTTGTTTGGGTAGATTACGGGGAAGTGTGGGCTGCTGAAGTTGCCGCTTACAGCTGACAAGACCTGCTGACATTCTCCTATAAAAGTAGATTCCGTTCGTTATTCATCTTTATTCAAAGCAATAGGTCTTCACACTTTGTTCTCTTTATTATTGACATTTTAGGATCTCATTTCAACCAAATGGGTGTCAGGAAAGTTAAAGATAGTCTTTATAGCTGGTAATTTAAATTCATGGGAACGTTTGTGCACTTTTCTAAGTATGCTTTTGGGATACTGAATTGTTCTGAGGAGACCAAACACTTAAATTTAACTGGTCAGTATGAAGAAAAGCTGCCACCTCATTAAGCTTTGAAGAGAAATTATAAACTAGAGAGGTCCTCTGCAGTTCAGTTGGCTGTACAAAGAAAAATCAAACTGACATTGTTTTCTCTCTTTGGATATTACATTCTTTTAAGTGTGCAAACTTAACTCCAGATGAGCTTTAAATTAGCTGGTATGCACATTTTATTAGTTTTAAATGGAGCTGGGCTGACTGTTTTTCTTGGTTCTGTCATATTAGATCCAATACAAAACCAGCTACTTGCTCCAGCTACATATTAAATGAACTGACACATGGCTGATAGATCTGCTTATGATAAGAAACACGAAAGCATATTTACTAAATGTTGAAGCGCAACATAAGTTGTTTACATTTTAAATATTCTAAAATGAGCTCTTTACACAGGCATGCTTGATGTTTGTTATGGCGTTTGTGGCAGCATCTCTTTTCATAGCCGGATTTTCTCTCTTTTTGCCAGTTGCTTTATGCTCAACGAGGTCAAGAGGGAACAACTCTGAACATCTGTCCAAAAGTTTCTTTGCAGACTTTCAATTTGCCTCAAGTATTTTTCTCCCTTTTTTTTCTTTTTGCATGAACACTCACAGACTTTCAAATGTAAGAGTGTGCTCATTTTCTTTGAGAGACAGCGTCTTACACTGTTTACACTGCTCTGAAATTCATCCACAAAATACTTTTCTTTAATGTGGCTTCTTTCAGACCTTGACTCAAATCCCACATAATTTTTTATATTTTTTTTCATTAGGTTTATCCCACTTATGGAAATCTGTATGTTTACTTTGTTGGTTGTCAAGGTTTTTGAGTTTGTGAGTGAGCAGACATTGTGTGAACATAGACTACTTGGAATCAGTGAAAGCCTTATGTTGCATTGTTGACAACAGGACAGTTTGTGCAGAGGAGTCAGGAGAATAAGTGTTGGTTTGAAGAACCACAAACCGAACGTTATTACCTGAGTAATAATAAGCCTTGAAGCCCCGTCCTCCTATATTGAAGTCCGACTTGAAGACTACAAGCAGTTGATTGGAGGTTGTAACTGTGTTAGGGGGTTTATCTGCCCCACAGTATTTGCCAAGGTGGCGGTGGCTGACCGTTGGACCGTCAAACAGGGCGACAAAATCAAAATTGCATCCCTCATTATTTTCAAGCTGGAAGTCCAAAAAGGCCAAAGTGACGACACTGGCATTGGAGACGTGGATGGCCCAGGAGCAGTCGGCGTTGTTGCTATACTCTTGAGGGTAGCCTGGACTGGAGATTACACCGGACAGTCCCGTCAGGACCCCCCCACACATATCTGGGAAGGACAGGAGGCAAATTTCTTACACTTCTTTTGGGAATAAATTGCTTAAGAGGCAATAAGTGAAACCGTGACAGGTTTGCCTGCAAGACTTGTGTCATAAAAAACTAATAAAGCACTATACAATGGATTTAATCAAGCTGTGACCCTCTTAGATATAACAGCAGAGCAGCTTTAATATGTTCATCGCTTTGGTTGTGGACTGGAACACAAGTGTACTACAGTTGACAAACTGAGTGAGTATTTTATATGAAGTGAATAAAAAAATATTCCTCTTGCTTGACATGAACTTTAAGGTTTACCAGACAGGTTTCCGGGCTCCTTCATGCATGAATTGAAGCCCTCGTATGTTTCTGTCCATCTGGGGACAGCTTGTTCTAACTCAAGAAGATGAGCAACTGGCGGAAGAAAAACTGCCCCAGACTTAAACTTGCACAGCTGTCAGTAAATTTGGGCTGTGTCAGCCTTGAGTGTGACTGACACAGCCTTATGTGTCAGTTTGGTATTATGTCAGCATGCTAATATGCTGATTAGCATTGCTGATTAGCATTTGGAACATCATGTTGTATTAACATTGTGATTATCATTCCAGTATCTGATGTTGACTGCCATCTTTTAGCATAATGTTCAGATGAGGTTCAGGCACAGGCAGTTCAGCAAAAAGCCCCGAGTTAGTATGCTGTACCCAAAGGCCACACTCAGTCCACTCCAGTATTGGACAGCCAAGCATCCTTGTCATATTGTATTAGATATAACAATTACCTTTTCTGTAGCCAACTCTGAAGCCCCTGTGGGCCACATGACGGTCTGAATGGAAGATGATGGACATGACATTCCAAGAAGAGGTGAACTGAGGTGGGGAGATGTCACCACAAAATGTCCCAAGGAGATTCCCTTCATCCTCAGATATGCCATTATATATTTTGATGTAGTCATAGGCACAGCTAGCATGGTACTCCAGCTCAAAGTGGTGGAAGGTTAGGAGGATGGAGGAGCCCTCGGCTACCACAATTAGCCAGGAACAGTCTATGTTATAAGGATAGAGGCCAGGAAAGTTTGGACTGGAGACATTACCAGATGGTGCTGAGAGGATTCCTCCACATTTGACGCCTAATTGTTACAAGAAGAAAAATATAAATGAAAATACAGGTTATTACTCCCCATGCCCCCCCCCCCCCCACTTCTTTTTTTTTTACAACCACAGCTTCTAAAAGTATGTTACATGCAGACTTTGAAAGTTTAGGCTTAACATTTTTTTGCACGTACAATACACAAGAAACAAAACACTCCCATGAAATTTAAGCAGTGATCTATCAGGATAAGAAACGAAAGCTCACCTTTTTTGGAATCGGACTTGTCGACGAGCAGCAGTATAATTACAACCACCACGAGACTCATGTTGTTATTGTGGATTTGGCTTTTTTCACACCTCAACAACAGAGCCAGCAGAAAAGCACCACAGCAAAGTCACAGCGCACAGCCTCGAGGTAATAGGACCTTGAAAAATTTATTCAGAGCCTGAACGGGGAATATGATGCCTGACAACAGGCCGGGCTTTGCCCTCCGCTAAATTTTAATGACTGCTATCCAATGAGTCTGAGAGACTTGTCAGGACACTGTTTGGAGAGATGTTGTACATTTTTAATGTTGGTCACACACACACAAACGCACACTGAAGACCTGCTGCTAGGGGTGTTGATAGAAATAAAGTACTTGCTTCACGTCTGAGGTAGAAGGTCTCAATATATTTGATGTGGTTGAGCAGACCTTTGTAAGCGGTGCTTTTTATGCAAAAGAATGACTGTATTCAATGATTTTATGAAGATAAAATGCAATTTGCTATTGGTTTTCTGAAGGCTACAGTTGCATGTGTTGCAGCAGGAGAAACAAACGTGAAAACAAAATACACAATTCAGTGAGTCAATGCTTTATATTGCACAATAACCCTTTTTGTTTTCATCCATTCCAAACTAATCATATATGTTTTTCACACAAAGACATTTTAATGCAATGTTTTGTCGGAATGCAGTCTGTATGACCACATTGTGACTGGAAGGATAGGTCATCCCTCACAGGCCTTTTTAATGCAAATGTTGTTTACAGCCTACATTTTGTTTCTGAGAAGCAAAATGCAGTGGCTCACATAAAAAAGATCTACTTCTGTTTGCCAAATGCCAATCATATTCCATGACTCATTCCCTATGTTTTTTGGCAGGTCTATAATTGAACGATGCAGACACATGTATACTGTAATCCTGACTGAACAGAGAGCATAAAGTCCAAAAAGCAAAGTGCATTCTGAAAATTAATGTTTGCTCTTCAAGTGCTGATGTGAAGTCGGGGCCATTAGAGTGAATACATTTAGTGAAGCTCATTAATACCTGCACAAACCTGCTAGATGGGGCTGTTACACTATGTTTACACAAGAAAATCACCACTGCTTCCTAAACAGTCATGTCTAGCTTCAAGCTAAAAATAAATAAGAATGTGATTAAAATCACTGAAGTTTTTTCCCTTTTTTTCCAGAGCAGTTTGTGTGACTTAAATGAACCGCCTTGTCTTTGAATTTTAATTCTGTCCTCCTAAAGCTTGACATTGTTCAAGGATGTGGTTGAGGGGCATGGCTGCAATGTGTTCCAGAAAGATATCGGGTGTTTTGTGGAGTTTAATCACCTATTAGCAAATGAGTGCTAGAAAAAGACCAAATAAGCTTTAAACAGCTGGAAAATTAAAGGAAAGTTGATAGAGCAGCTGCCTGACCTGAAAATAATCCCACATGCGAATTTTACTTAAATGCATTAAACAAGTGCAAAAAAAACATATTCAATAATGTGAAAAAATTACATTGTCAATACATAATTAAGTCAAGGGTCAGGGATATTTGTTTCTGTTTAGCAGGAATGAAGACTGAATTTATTCAGTTGTTGCTGTCGATGTAGAGGCTTGATAGTTATTGCTTCAAATGTGAAAAATGGCAGATGAGGCTTTAGTGTATGTCTTTAGAAACTGATTGAATATATGCTCTCAAACATATTTACAATGTGGTCAGCCATTATACTACAACATAATTCCTACATATATATGTATATATATATATATATATATGGTGGATGGTTGTATGGCTTTACGAATACTATTTGCTATATTTCCATCTAGTACTGCCTGACTGCCTTGCCCGATTATTTTCTTTCCCATTTCTACCATGCAGGGATTTTCTACCTTCTCTATACCAAGGACAATATTGTTATGTCATTGCACTGCCAATTCAGGGAGCTCAAAGATTGGATTATAAGCTGTAATGAGCTCAGCCTGCCTCTATAGTTATGAGGGTAATGAAATCTGTTATTCGAGGTAAGGAACAGAAAGGAGAAAAGATCAACTTCCACTAGCAACCAACGCTCTACTGTCTTCCCTGAGTGGCATTACATTAAATATAATTTATTTAAGGGGTGTTTTTGTTATTTAAATAGGTACCCAAGCAGTTCTGAAAGCACAATGGTTTTTGAGCATTTTGAGACACATTATTCAGATAAGTCATATTGCCAGTATTCCTAATTGTCAGTTTGATTCATATCCATTCTATTCTACTTAAACATAGAAAGAAAAGCATTGTAAGAAATGTCTTTGGACATAGGTATTCTTAGGACAAGGTCCTTAAAAGGTGGACATATCTGACAGGATGGGGATGTTAAAAGTCTGCAGTTTAATTAGTCTGGAATGACGTGATTGTCCCTCCAGAATTGATGTGAACCTGTATCTAAAGACCTTTGAAATATCTTGTTCTATCTCCGCTTTGTAGATAGTTTTTTTTTTCACAGCTAGCTGCATGTATGCAGCCTTCAATGGAACCTGGGAGCCCGTGACGTTTGAACCCAGTTGTTTTTTAAAAGAAAAAAAAAAGATAAATTAATTGTTATTGTGAGCATGTAGGTAGCTACAGAGAACAATGCTATTTATCTTGCTTGCTTTGATGGCAATTCAGGTATAGATGCTGTGTGGGAAGATGGTCCACAGTGAAAGATAAGGATTCAAATGTAGACAAAGCAAGGCGGGCAGGTGTGGAAACAAAAGGCTGTAATCATCAGACTTAGTGGAAAGCAGTGGACTACAGGCTGTAATAAAAGCCCCAAACAAATTGAACAGTGCTATCTTAATCTAAGTCTTTAAATGAAAAGAGGGAAAACAAGCAAATAAACACACAAACATTTGTAT